AAAGCACATTGCCAGGTCTGGAACCTGAACTGTAGTTGGCCATGTGGGACCCTTACCCACCACGCTACCTGTCGGCCTCTGTCAGATGCTTTTCTGACTTTATATTCAAGGTAATTTGAGCTTTTTCCTTTATTGTGTTAATGTCAATTAGTGCAATATTTTTTCCGAATTTGATTGATTATGTATTTAACTTGTGTTAATAAGCCCTACCTGATCATGTAGTATTGTTGTATATCTCAATCTTCTATTAATGTTTACTTCCTGAGAGTTAGAAAGAAGACAGGCAAATACAAACAGGTACTTTTTTTTTCTTTAAAGAATTATTTATTTGATTTATTTTTTTTTTTTTTAAGAGGGGATGGTCACGCCGCAATCCCTTCTCCTCCATTCTCCTCTCGGGATCTTGGGCACGCATGCACACGCGCCTGGCGTGAGTTTTAAGCCACCGGGTCAGGGACGCGAACCGTGTTCGACTACGTGGGAGTCCAGCGACATAACCATTACGCTAACTGCTGGTTCCCTTGATTTTGTTTTTTGTTTGTTTGTTTGGTTGTTGTTGCTGTTGTTCTTAGAACTTATTTTTTTGAAGTTGACCAGAGAAAGACAGCAAGAGAGAAAGTGAGAAAGCAAGCTGCCAGGTCCAGGACTCAAACCGTGTTCAGCCTTGTGGGAATCCAGCCACCTTAATCACCACGCAACCTGCTGGCCCCCCGCTAAACAGCTACCTTGATGGGCAGGGAGAAGAGATAGATCTCTTCCAGGGATTTGATCTTCATGTCTTTGACCAGGTGGCCCAGCTTGGTGACCGGGATCCACTCCTTGTCCTTGTCCTTGCCTCTGCGAGCTCTGCAGCCCCGGCCCGACCACGGGGGCCGCTGCCAAAGCCTCCACGGAAACTGCTGCAGCCTCCTATCCCAGGATCCCCAGGGCCTCCGGGCCTTGCTGCTGTACCGGCATCACCCGCCATTTGGTGTTCTCTCGGAGAAGAAGCTTGTTGTTGTTTTTAATTTGACCAGAGAGAAATAGAGAGCAAGAGAGTGCGAGCTCTGCAGCCCCGGCCCGACCACGGGGGCCGCTGCCAAAGCCTCCACGGAAACTGCTGCAGCCTCCTATCCCAGGATCCCCAGGGCCTCCGGGCCTTGCTGCTGTACCGGCATCACCCGCCATTTGGTGTTCTCTCGGAGAAGAAGCTTGTTGTTGTTTTTAATTTGACCAGAGAGAAATAGAGAGCAAGAGAGAAAGGGAAAGTGAGGAAATAAGCCACCAGGTCCAGGACTCGAACTGCAGTCAGCTATATGGGAGTCCAGTGCTCCAACCACCATACCATCTGCTGGCCCCCTCCTTTTTTTTTAATAGCTTTTTAATTTTAAAAAGGTATTTATTTAGTTTTAGAAAGTGAGTTGATCAGAATGATACGGTGTGAAATGGGTTTGACCACCAAGTAGAAGGCATGAAACAATTCTTGCCAGGTAGGAGAATAACCTCTTCAAAAAAACATTTTAGGGGCCAGCAGGTGGTATGGTTGTTAAAGGCACTGGACTTCCATGTAGTCAACTGGATTTTGAGTCCTGGACCTGGCAGCTTGTTTCTTACTTTTTGTCTCTCTCTCTCTCTTTGTCTCTCTCTGGTGAGCACATGTGCCCTATAGCAAAATTTAAAATATAATAATAATAAAATAAAATAAATTACTCTTCAAAAAAAATGAAGAAAGAAACTTTGTAGGCAGCCAACCCTACAAAGTCATGGTGGTTAAGATGGCTGGATCCCATGGCTAGTGGGTGGCAAGGTGGTTAAGAGTGCTGAACTCCGACATGGCCAACTGCAGTTTGAGTCCTGGACCTGGTGGCTTGCTTTCTCACCTTCTCTCTCTCCCTCTCTCTCTCTCTCTCACTGTCTCTCTCTCTTGTGCTCTGGAGCAAATTTAAAAATAACAATGAATAAACAAACAACAAAAAAAACCTCATTAAAAAAAAAAAAGACGGCTGGATCCCATGTGGCCAACTATACTATTTGAGCCCTAGACCCAGTAGCTTGAAAAACCTGTGAAGTGCCATGTTCATGTGAGCCCAAAATCCTGAGGGGAGAGTGGAGGACAAGGAATTGCAGTGCAGCCATCCTCCCAGGGGATGATTTTTCACTTTCTCTTGATCTCTCTCTTTCTCTGGTGAGTATGCTTGCACTCTAGCAAAACTTGGAAAGAAAGAAACTTAAAGGATTTTCAGCTACTGAAAGCCTGTTCAAAGTTGGTGATTATTATTAACTTCCACTGACATACTGTGTGTGCTGTGTGAGTCTTTTCCCTCTCCACAGATACTTAGATGATGGGTGATGCCATAAAAGGGTAGTGGCAGAGCCAGCAGTTGGTGTGGTGGTGAAGGCACTGGACTCGGACTGCAGGCAGCCACGTGAGAGTCCAGTTCTGGACCCAGTGGCTTGCTTTCTCTCTCTTTCTCCCTCTGTCTGATAAGCATGTTTGTTTTGTAGCAAGTTAAGTAATAATAGTGATAAAGAAAATTAGATAACTTATTATTTAAAGTAAAGAGGGGTCAGAGGGTAGCAGAGTGGTAAGGACCTCATGGGAAAATTGGTAGCCCAGGGCCTCCCTGTGCGTGTCAGGCATGTGTGCATGCATGTCCATGATTCAGGTTGACTGAAGTTGGGAGTGAACCAGGGCCTAAAGACTCCATTTTGGTGTATGTGTGCCCATCTCTCGCTCTCTCTTTCTTGCTCACAGGAGGAATAAGTGAATAAATGTTAGGGAAAAAATGGGGAGTAGAGTTCTTCCAGGGATGGGGTTTGTCTGGAGAGTATAATGAAGGTGGGAACAAGGAATTGGAAGTTATTTGTAATGGAATACTTTTTTTTTTTTTAAAGAGAGATTTTTGCTATAGGGTATGTGGGCTCACCGGAGTGAGGGAGAGACAGAAAGACACCCCCCGGGGTTATGGCCACACCGTAATCCTTTCTCCATTCTCCTCTCAGGACTTGGGCATGCATACATGCACACGCGCCTGTTTGAGTTTTAAGCTACTGGATCTGGGACTCGAACTGTGATCGACTGTGTGGGAGTTCAGCCATGTAACCATTAAGCCATCTGCTGGTCCCTGTTTAATTTTTTTGTGTGTGTTCTTACTGGCAAGAGAAAGCGAAAGAGACAGACAGACAGTAAGAAATCACCCCATAGGGGTGATGGCCACATTGCAGTACATTCTCTGTTCGGGATTTTGGGCACTCACACACATGCACCCAGCATAGTTTTCAAGCCATTAGGTCCTGAACTTGAACCTCACAGTTGACATTGTAGGATTCAGCTACCTTTCTTTTTAAAGAATGATTTTATTTAACTTAATTTGTTTATTTACTTATTTTTTAATTTGACCAGAGAAGGACAGAGCAAGAGAGAGAGAAAGCGAGAAAGCAAGCTGCCAGGTCCAGTACTCCAACCTCGGTAGTCCATGTGAGAGTCCAGCGCCCTTAACCACCATGTCACTGCTGTCCCCCGCCCTTAACTTCCACACCACCTGCTTTTTTTATTTTTTATTTTTTTTAAAGAATTACCTATTGGGACCATCAGTTAGCGTAATGGCTCTGATTTTTTTTTTAAAGAATTGGGACCATTAGTTAGCGTAATGGCTCTGTCACTGGACTCCCATGTAGTCGACCGTGGTTCGAGTCCCGGATCCGGTGGCTTAAACTCAGGCCAGGCGCATGTGCGTGCGTGCCCAAGATCCTGAGAGGAGAATGGAGGAGAAGGGATTGCAGCGTGGCCATCCCCCCTGGGGGTGATTTCTCACTTTCTGTCTCTCTGTCTCTCTCTGTTTGTCTGGCGAGCGCATGTGCCCTATAGCAAAAACCTCTCCAAAAAAAGAAAAAGAAAAAGAATTACCTATTTTATTTATTGTGATTATTTTTTTCAATGAGTTTACCAGAGACAGAGAGAAAGTGGAAGTCACCAGTTCTGGAACTGTGACTGCTGTCGGCCATGTGGGAAGTCCAGCACCTCAACCACCATGCCACCTGCTGGCCCCACACATCACCTGCTTTAATTAGTAATTAATTGTTATTGGGACTAGCAGATGGTGTAATGGTTACGTCACTGGGCTCCTGCGTAGTAAACTGATGTTCGAATCCTGGAGACAGAGGCTGAAGACTCACACCAGGCATGTCTAAATGCATGCCCAAGATCCAGAGAGGAGAATGGAGGAGAAGGGATTGTGGAGTGGCCATACCCCTTGGGGGGTGAGTTCTCGCTTTCTGTCTCTGTGTCTTTCTGTCTTCAGTGAGTATATATACCCTATAGCAAAAATCTCTTTAAAAATAATTATTATTGGGGCTGGCAGTTGATGTGGTGGTTAAAGGTGCTGGAATCCCATATGGCTGACTGCGGGTTGAGTCCTAGACCCGGCAGCTTGGTTTCTTGCTTTTCCCCTCTCTCTTTTTTTCTAAGAAAATAAAAAGAAAAAAAAAAAAAAAAGGGCTGGCATGTGGCATGGTAGTTAAGGGTACTGGACTCCCACATGTCCCATCACGGTTTGAATCCCAGACCTGGTGGCTTGCTTTCTTGCTTTCTCTCCCCCCTCATCAAAGTAAAATAAATAAAGTTAAATAAAAATAATTCTTTAAAAAATAGTAATAACAAATGGAATTTCATAAAGAATTTTTTTAAAAAAATTAATCATTATTAATTTACATAAGGTGGATGTATCTTCAGATATACCATTATGTAGGATAACTGATTTTTACTTTTAAAGAATTATTTATTTAACTTGTTGTTATTACTATTTTAAAATTTGCCATAGGGAATATATGCTCTCTGGAGAAAGACGAAGAGAGGGAAAGTGAGAAAGCAAACCGCCAGGTCCAAGACGCAAACTGGTCAACCATGTGGGAGTCCAGTGCCTTAAGCTCCGTGCTGCTTGCTGGCCCCAGCATAACTGCTTTGGTTTTGAATTTTTGCAAAAATTCTGGTAATGTTTGTTTGGGATTTGTTTGGTAGGAGGAGGCATCTCCCTACTCTTTGGTCAACATCTGCCTGCATGCGATGATTGAGAACCTAGAGAAATTGTGTTCTGAAAGACCTGATGGAACACTTGGCTTCCCAGAGCATTGGAGTTTTCCTCAAGAAGTAGCTGATCGATTCCTTGCGGTGATGACTTCACAAGGTAATGATAAGGTTCTTCCATATTTTTTTAACAATTTGTCATAGGATGTGTGTGGTTGCCTGAGAGACCAGGGGGGTAGGGGTGGAGGAGAAGAGGGAGAAAACACCCTTACCTCCCCCACCACCTTGGGGAATGGTCATGTTGCAATCCCTCCTCTTCCATTTCTCCCTCCTTTTGGGATTTTGGGTGGGCCTAGCATGTTTTTCAAGTTACCAGGTGAGGGACACAACCTGTGCAGTTTGCAGTTGATGCCGTGGGCTGGGCTAGTCCTTTAAGCTCTGCTCTTTTTATTTATTAATTTTTTATAATTATTTATTTTATTTATTAATTCATTTATTTTTTAGTTTGACCAGAGAGAGACAGAGAGTGAGAGTGAGTGAGAGAGAGAGGAAATGAGAAAGCAAGCCACCAGATTCAGGACTTGAACGCTGGTTGGCCATGTGGGAGTGTCCAGCACCTTAACCACCACGCCACCTGCTGGTCCCTAAGCTCTACTCTTACAGCACTTTAGTATTTGAAAAGTATTTTTTATTTTAGTTTCTGCAAATTATTATATTTGTGTGTTGATTGAAGCTGTCTTTCTGGGATTTCATGATGGACATTGACTTGCATTTGGGCTCATCCAGTTATTGACTTAGCACGTGAAGAAAGTGGAAAAGTAAGCCCAGATAGAACCCTATAGCAACTTTTAAAGTCTTGTCTTCACATCATAGATGTGGGCCTTTAAAAGTCCTTTACAGCCATCGTAGTGGAGTTTAAAAACTCCAGTTAAAAAAGTTAGTGTTGGGACCTGCAGATGGTGTAGTGGTTATGTTGCTGAACTCCCACAGTGCTGACTGCGGTTCAAGTCCTGGACCCAGTGCCTGGAAACTCAGGCCAGGGGTATGTGCTTGCATGCCCAAGATTCCAGGAGGAGAAGGGATTGTGGTGTGGCCATCTCCTTTGGGGAGTGATTTCTCACTTTCCTTCTCACTGTCTCTGAGAGTGCATGCACCCCAAGGCAAAAATCTCTTAAAAAGTGCATATATGGGGAACCAGCAGTTAGCGTAATGGCTATGTCCCTGGACTTCCACATAGTCGACCGCGGTTCGTGTCCCGGACC